ACTACTGGCTGTTCTTTTGTACTAATAAAAAGGTCAAGACTTTTTGAATGATCTACAATATCCAATGAATACTGGCTGTTCTTTTGTACATATAAATAAAGACTACCTGAATGATCTAAAGTATTCTAAGTAATGTGATTTTTTTCTTGCAATTACATTTTTCTAAATCAAGAATATAGACTACTAGTATCCTTTTCAAACCAAATGATTATGAAGAGCCTGTTGTTAGCAAGCTCTTATACCCCACATACTCATTAAATAAGTTACTAGTGACCTAGTAACTTCCGTTACTTGAAGCAAATTATATTTCTGTATATTTAGACAATAGTATATTATTGTTTTACTAGTTTTATTTCACCTTGAAGATTAGACAAATAGGGATACTCCTTCGATTTTTTATTTCATGTCAGTTAGGTCGCTTTATATGAAACTTGAAACCACTTCTCTGCCATATTGTTATTTTATAACAACTCTGCCCTTGACCATGTTGACCCATGTAATTGATATTCATTCTTTAACCATATATCATAGTCAGTTAGTTTTTGATTTTGCACTCCCACACCACATTTCATGTCTTTCAGGTCAAATGTCTGTCTCCATTTAAGTTAATGACATTGAACAATCATGGTATTAAACACAATTTCAATAGTGATAATGCTGTTCTCGTGGGTCACCATATATTCAACTTGGGTAGCATTCCAGTTATTGAAATTTGTGTCAGATTAGAACAATGATCTAGATCTTTAGGAATGGATTTTATAATTTAATATGGAGCCATAGTATGGGACCCCTACACGGTAACAAAAAAAAACAAGCTTGAAAGGATACAATGTCAAGCGGCAAAATCTATCACCAGAGATTACAAGTCAAAAGAGGATGGACGGGATACGTCTCTAAAATGCTTGCTGAACTGGAACTACACCAAGATCTCCAGACAAGACGAACAAAGTGTTGAAGCCAGAAGTTAATATTTATGTAAAAAGTAGTTTAGGGGCTGATTCCCGCTATTGAACCATACTGTCATTCTATAATATCATTGCGTAAGTATTTCTGTATTGGCCTTGTTATTGGTCCATGTCTTGGGTGTATTGGTCTGAGGCGAAGCGGAAGGCCGATACTGCTGGCCGAGGACCAATAATAAGGCCAATACAGAAATACACGTAATAGTATCTTTATTAATTAACTACAGTGTTACAATATTTTTTTTATTTCATTTCACAAGGGATAAACATTTTTACCTTGAAGTGGAGCTATCCAAATCTCAGTTTCCTTTTATAAGATGCAATATCTAATGATTCGGTGCCGTTTGACTGCTGGCCGAGAACCAATAATAAGGCCAATACAGAAATACACGTAATAGTATCTTTATTAATTAACTACAGTGTTATAATATTTTTTTTATTTCATTTCACAAGAGATAAACATTTTTACCTTGAAGTGGAACTATCCAAATTTTCTTTTTATAAGATGCAATATCTAATGACTGGGTGCCATTTGAAGTATCTTCAGCCTTTTCTCAGCTGATGAATTTTTCTACCCTTTCCAGTCACTATAAAGTGTTACAACTTTAATTTAGACACAACACATAAATAGTAATTGGAAAGGTACTGCCATTGCATGTGTAATGCAAATATATTTAAAAAAAAAATAATGTAAGAGTTGAAATTGATACAACTATCCATAAGCCAATTGACCAAAGAACGAAGATTTGCACAATTAATTCCTTTCTGTGCCTATCCCATGTAAAGGGCCTGTGATTATAGTATTTTTTATTGATTTAGGTCCTCTATATTTGTTTTTAGTAAATTGTATTATTACTAATTAAAGAGTTTTGTTTGAATTGTTCCACATTTTTTATATCAGGGCCTTTTATAGCTTACTATATGGTATGAGTTTTTCTCATTGTTGACTACCATATGGTGACCTATAATTATTTATATATCTTCCTCCTTTAAACTCTTTTGGATAGCTGGTTCATTCGCCAAAAATACCACATCTCTTAATTTAAATAAGACAGCAAACTTAAATCAATACAACTGTAATGAAAGTGAATTTATATGAAAGGCTTTAATCAACAATGGCAATATGTAGACAGGAATAAAAAGTTAATATACACTAGATTTGTAGAGTTAGTTAATTTTATAACCATGTAATACATTTTAGTTGCTGCTGTGAAATTCAGCATTGAGGCAATGACATTTTGAGTTTTTTGGTTTTCAGCCATTCATTTGATATAATCTTTGCCTCCGTGTTGAGTTGACACATTGTTATTTACAGGTCAATCTAAAAGAATCATACTGACCCAGGAACAAAGTGTGAGGTTCATACTGTAAATTCTGAAATTGAATGTCAAGGTCAGTATGATGCTTCTGCGTACACACTTTTGTCAATTAAAGTGCTACAGTTCAAAACGTATGCACCAAACACAAACCAGATACTGTTTAACTATCATTGGGGTCAAATGAGAAAGGTCAGTGGTATATGATACACTCCAAGCCCAAAATGCAACAGCATTTTAAGGTACAAAAGATATGACCCATGCAGACACAAATTGTACAAGGTTTTACTATCGTAGGTATCAAAAGGACGAAGTCAAGGTCAAATTGATCCAACTTTGGGATATGACATGTCCAAAGACCATGATGTAACTGCCTACTGAGTTTGATAACCCAAAGTTTAAAGCACAAACTTTAGGAAACGGGCACAAATTGGATAAAGTCAACTATCATAATCATTTCAGATTCTATGATTTCACCTTTTCTTTGAGTACTTAGAGAAATTTTAAGTATAGTGTTTTATTCATGCATCCATCTGTTTTATTAGTATGCAATGTCATAAGCATAGATACATGCATATAAAAAATTATTTGCTATACATATTTATAACGTGATAAGTAAACAAACAAACAATTATCAAAGTTCTGTATGGTTTTTAAGCATTAAGAAAGTCATTTTGCTGGAAAAATTAAGACTCATTGTTTTAAACACTTTAAAATATTTTAGTTAAAGCCTGGGACTATTATACTAATAGTATAATAGTCCCAGGTAAAGCACTGTCTATATTACATGGACAGTCATGTTACCTAATAATTTCTACAGCACTTGTCTTGGCACACTGGGTTATTCTAAGAAGTAGAAACTGACTTGGCACTTTTAATACACTTGACTGTACTAAAGTTATCCTTATCCTTGTAACAATTTGTGTAGTTGTTAATCCTAACACTTATAATTAGGAGGTTGTGAACTGACGTAGAGTCAATGTTTTTCTGCTCTCAGTTTGGATCCACTTAGTCCTTATATCCGCATTGAAATGTTAAATAGCTAGTATTTCTTTGCTGAATTGAAAGTTTATAAATGTTTTTTGGCATCAAAACCTTCCGATCGATGTTTTGACAAAAACAATGCAATTTTCTATCAAAGCCGGTATTAACCTTTACTCAGCCTTGGCGTGTGACATAGACAGAAGCAATATGATTATCGAGTATTTAATATCTTGTCACCTGTTAATTGTTCAATCATACTGTATTATCACTTGTTAATTTATAGCCGCCGGCCTGGTCAAAATGTAAACATGTTGCGTAATCAGTAATGTCAATTACGCTGCTGGATAACTCGGACTAAAACAAAATCGGCCTATCACAAACTCGGACTAGAACAAACTCAGCCTAACATTTTTTTATATGCAGAAATATATTGAACAAACTCGGATTACGATTAGTAGATTGTGTAGTTAACGGGTTTTTCTGACTTTTTAAAAAATTTACTTAATATAAAAAAAAATATATACAAATTTTGCTTTTGTCCAATTTTGTGAGGCTGATTATGTTATAGGCCCTGTTTGTTATAGTCCTAGTTTGTTATGGGCTGAGATATCAGGATACTTTCGATACACTTGGGCTTTTACTTCTTTAATAAATATTTGTAAATATCGTAGTAAAAAATGGCACGGGAAATGTTCATTCATGAAATATTTTAAACACTGTATTTATTTCCTCTTCAACCAGAGGAAGGGAGGAGACCCCTGAAACCGGGATTATTGTACTCCCGTCGGGAGGTTCACATATATGGATCTCACGCATGTCTGGGGAATCCCGATAAAAGCATACAGGTAACATAAACATACAAAATGGCTGACAGTTCAAAGTATCCATAATTTATAGAGGTCACACATACCATTTACAAATGTAAAAATTGAAAAGATTGCGATATTCTTAACAATAAGAATTCTTTAATTTCATGAATAAATATAAAAAAAACTCAACACACACCTCGAAATAAATATCAGTCCCCCTTAATTTTCAATGAATTAAACGTAGAAACTTCTGTCTCGTGTAGATGTGTATTGATTTTATCTTCCACGCAGGGCAGATCTGCGAAGTAGTGTTTGTGATACCCATTTTCAAAATGAAGTTGAATTCATTTGAATTGTCGGTGAACATTCAGTCCATTTTTGTTCAAGCTGTAAGCTTATCAAAATAGAAGTTACTCAAAATTTCAAAAGGATCTTCCTAGAATTAGTATTCAAACACTAGTACTACATTATCTAGGAGTAGAACACACATCCTATAGTAAGATAGTCTGTCCAACTTCCGGTTTGAGGCCGATGCCATAGGAAAGTCTATTACTATAGCAAGCTTTAGCAAACTTTCCAAAAAACCATCCTGAAATCTTTTTTCCAAATTATTTATAATTGGGTGACCTTGTCCTTTGACCTATTGACCCTAAAACCATCAGGTTTCTCCTCCTTCCCTATTCATCTGTGTATGTTTTATTCCAATCAAGTTATCATCTGGTAACTATTTATTATGGATTCACAGATGGAAGGATAGAAGGAGGAATGGAAAGATGAACGAATTGACAAAGCAATTACTATATGCAAGAAATTTTTTTCGGGGAGCATTTATTATGTAACAACCTAAATCAGTAATAGTAATCAAGCAATAGGGTGGTAAAATGGTACAGAAGATGTAAATGAGAAGATATGAATAATCAACTGCTTACATTATCATCATAGGATGGTGGTTCTTCCGGTACTGAGACAGGAACTTTGGTATCTTTATCAACACCTACAAATGCTGTGTATTTGGAGACAATGTTGGCTGCTTGGCTTACCAATACAATCTTGTCTTTATTGATCCCATCCCCTCTATAACTTGCTGGAAAATACAATAGAATTTCACAATTAACCAAATAATCTGATTGAGTTCCTGTGTTCAGAATAATAATTCATACCCTTTTCGTTTCATTTAAAAAAAAATAGAGAATGTGTCTATGGGCCACAGATGCCCCCTCTTGTAAATATGCATGAGTCAGCTTCCACATACAGATGCAGGATTCACGTAGTTAATATAAAAATAAGACCGTTTTGTGATCATAAGCATTGTGTATAAGTTTCATAACATTTGATTGAAGCAAACTAAAGTTAGAAAATGGAAACGACAGATTTAGCAATTTTTCCATTTATAAAGTGTCATAACTCAAGAACGGCAAAAGTGGCACCTACCAATTTCAAACTTGATCTGTGTTTTGTGGTAATAAACATTGTGTACAAGTTTCATAACATTTGGTTGAGGAAAACTAAAGTTAGAGAAAGTAAACAGAAAATTCAGCAATTTTTATGTTTATTAAGGAGCATAACTCATGAACGGTAAAAGTGACGCTACCCGATTTCGAACTTGATCTGTGTTTTGTGGTAATAAGCATTATGTATAAGTTTTATAACATTTGGTTAAGGCAAACATAAGTTAGAGAACGGAAACGAAAAATTCAGCAATTTTTATGTTAATAAAGGGGCATAACTCTTGAACGGTTAAATGACACCACCAAATTTCGAACTTGATCTGTGTTTTGTGGTAATAAGTATTTTGTATAAGTTTCATAACCTATGGTTGAGGCAAACTAAAGTTAGAGAACGGAAACCAATTTTGGGACATACATACATACGGACAGACAAGGGTAACACTTCATGTCCCCTTCGCCTAGCAGCGGAGGCAAAACAAGATTTTTACTTTCATTAACAATAGGAACAAACAGATTATATCAAAGTGATGAACATGAAAATAATATCAAATGAACATGAACATGAAAAGAATATCAAATGAAAATAAAAAGAATATCAAATGAACATGAACATGAAAAGAATATCAAATGAACATTAAAAGAATATCAAATGAACATGAACATGAAAAGAATATCAAATGAACATAAAAAGAATATCAAATGAACATGAAATGTAGAATTTCCCCAGTAAAAGAGAGAGTATGAACACATACAGGAAACTATAATATAATTGCCACATTCTTATAACTTACAATCATCATCATTTTCCAAGTCTTTGATCTGGTATTTAGCTGCTACACGATGTAATGGTAAATCATTGTGTGAATAACTTGGAATTTCTATTTTCACTTTATGTTTAACATTCTTTCCTCCAAATCTTCCTTTCAATGTGAATGAACCAGAAATACCACTCTAAAATCATCAACAAAAAATATATGTTCTCTACATGTATTACAATAGTAATTCCTGGTTCATATTTCCAGGACTTTATTTATTTTTCTTGCCTGCAGACTTTGAATCAAAAGATAAATTTATAATATCTGCTTTTAACCGCCCAAATTTCCTAAATCAAAGATCATTAATCAAATAGATCAGCCTGTCATAAAGTTGTTACACATACAAAGTTCTGGAACTCAGAAAATATGTATACATTTAAAACTATGATGAAGGGTAAAAAAAAAAAAGAATAAAAGAACAGAGTTCCAATGTCCCCCACGTTGCATATATTTTATCTATCCAAGCTAGGGTACAAGGGCAATAACTAAAAAAAGAACTTTTTTTTTTGTTCTTTAAAACTTTTTATTAATATCTTAAGCAAAATGAAAGCTTCAGAGCAAATGCAATGTGATTTCCATTATAATTTATATTTCCAAGGGGCATAAATTGTTAAAAGTATTTGATCAGAACTTATTTTCGAAAGTGTCAGACATTGCTGATATAAACCTATGATATAGGTTTCATAAAATTCTGGCAAGAATTGAACACATGAGAGCGATAACATTGCAATTTTCCATATAATCAATATTTTCAAGGGCATAACTCTTTTAAAAATAATTGATCAGCACTGATTTTTGAACTCTTCAAGTACATTGATGAAATAAACCTATAATATACATTTCATAAAAATCTGGCAAGAATTGTACACATTAGAGCGCAATTTTCCTTATAATTAATATTTCCAAGGAGCATAACTCTTTTAAAAATTATTGACCGACACTGATTTTCAAATTCGTCCAAGACATTGCTTATATAAACCTATGATTTAAGTCTCATAAAATTCTGGCAAGAATTGTACATATGAGAGCGCTAACAATGCAATTCTCCATATAATTTATATTTTCAAGGGGCATAACTCTTTTGAAAATAATTGATCTGCACTGATTTTCGAACTCATCCAAGACATTGCTGTTATAAACCTATGATATAAGTTTCATAAAAATCTGGCAAGATTTGAACACATGAGAGCACTAACGATGCAATTTTCCATAAAATTAATGTTTCCAAGGGGCATAACTCTTTTAAAAATAACTAATCTGCACTGATTTTCAAACTCATCCAAGACATTGCTAATATAAACCTATGATATCAGTTTCATAAAAATCTGGCAAGAATTGAACAAATGAGAGTGTTAAGGATGCAATTTTCCGTATAATTAATGTTTCCAAGGTGCATAACTCTTTTAAAAATAATTGATCGGCACTGATTTTCTACTTTGTCCAAGACATTGCTGATATAAACCTATGATATAAGTTTCATAAAAATCTGGCAAGAATTGTACATGTTAGAGTAATTACAAGACCAGACGGATGCCTGGTAGTTCCATGTCCCCCCCCCCCCCCCTCCCCAACGTGTTACGCATTGGACAATTAAACCATACATATACAAACATACTGTTACACCACTGTCCCAGGTTAGGGGCAGGGTTTGGTGCCAACAAACTAGTTTAACCCACCACATTCTGTATGTGCCTGTCCCAATTCAAGGCAAACATGTATCTTTGTATTGATCTGATGAGTTGAGCCTTTTCAACTGATTTTTATAGTTTGTTCTTATGTTGTGCTGTGACACCACTGGGGGGAGGTTTGAGCGCTCACAAACATATTTAACCCTGCCACATTCTTTATGTGCCTGTCCCATGTCAGGAGCCTGTAGTTCAGGGGTTTTCGTTGGTTCATATCTGTCATATTTGTTTTTCGTGAATTGTTTTGTTATAAATTAGGACAATAGTTTTCTCAATTGAATTATTTCATATTTTTTAATGTCGGGGCCTTTTATAGCCGACTATACGTTATGGGTTTTTCTCATTGTTGAAGGCCGTATGGTTGCCTTTAATTGCTTACATCCACTTCATTTGAACTTTGGTGGATAGTTGTCTCATTGGCAATCATCCTACATCTCTTATTTTTACATGTATGCAATATCTTTTAAGGTGTTGTTGTACTGTTGAGTTTCTTCTTATTGATGTATACCCCAAAACTGATTTTAATAATTTCATTTTTGGTTAAGATCACACCTTCTTCTGTAAGACAAGCAATTCCATTTTTAAAATGTTGTCTTAAAGCTTGAAATGCGAAATTTCTATTACCTTTTCATATTTTCAAACTTAACCCTACAAAACTATAAAGAAGACAAGGCTTAAATACTTATGCACTATAATTGAAAGAAAGGGAGAAAAACATGTCCTGTGCAAAGAGGAATTCAAAGCAACATAGAATTTTCAGAATGAAACTGAGGCAGTTTTTGGTTATTCTGTATTTCATTCTGTTTATTCAATATATGGCAAATAAAATAATAATAAAATGCTCCGCTGGGCGCAGCTTGATACGACCGCAGAGGTCGAACCCTGAACTGTTGGGGCAATAATATAATAAAAACAAAAGAAAATAAATGTAGTATAAAAGACATTGTGGAAAAATATAACCAATAACCAGTTTCATGGAACACAAAAGCAGTGGATACATTGCATTTTGATTTGATCAATTTTCTCGGAATAAACTAATAATGAAATGAATACCTTAGCATCAGAAGATTTTAACAAGGCAAACAAAACAAGTTTATCTCCATGGAAGATGACAGGAGGCTCATTGGGGATATCAGTAATTGTAAAACATTTAGGAATATCCCAATGTAGACTGACTTCTGACAAACAATTGTCTAATGATCCTTTCATTGCTGTAATCACCTGGAAAAATCATATCACTTCATTAACAACATTATTATTGTATACACCAATTGCTAGTGTCAAACTCATAAAAAACAATACAGAACTGTTGTTTAGACAACCTAATTAAGTTTTCGTTTTTTACTGTCATGTTCATATTTGAAAATGTGTCTAACAGCATTCATACTATCTTTTGGATTCCTATAAAAATAGTTTTCTAATTTCAATTTGTTTTTGATTCAATACAATTTTCATTCTTGATATTTTCCTATCTTCTATTTTCCTATTTCTAATCCTACCTTTGCTTGCATGTTATCTTTATCTTCTATTTTCCTATTTCTAATCCTACCTTTGCTTGCATGTTATCTTTATCTTCTTTTTTCCTATTTCTAATCCTACCTTTGCTTGCATGTTATCTTTATCTTCTTTTTTCCTATTTCTAATCCTATCTTTGCTTGCATGTTTTTTTATCTTCTATCTTCTTATTTCTTATATTACCTTTGCTTGCATGTTATATGTATCGTCTATTTTCCTATTTCTAATATTACCTTTGCTTGCATGTTATATGTATCTTCTATTTTCCTATTTCTAATTCTCACTTTGCTTGCATGTAATCTTTTTTTTTCTATTTTCCTATTTCTAATTCTCACTTTGCTTGCATGTAATCTTTTTTTTTCTATTTTCCTATTTCTAATCCTCGCTTTGCTTGCATGTAATCTTTTTTTTTCTATTTTCCTATTTCTAATCCTCGCTTTGCTTGCATGTAATCTTTTTTTTTTCTATTTTCCTATTTCTAATCTTATCTTCTATTTTCCTATTTCTGATATAACCTTTGCTTGCATGTTATCTTTATCTTCTATTTTCCTATTTCTAATCCTACCTTTGCTTGCATGTCATCTTTATCTTCTATTTTCCTATTTCTAATCCTACATTTGCTTGCATGTTACCTTTATCTTCTATTTTCATATTTCTATTATTACCTTTGCTTGCATGTCATATGTATCTGCAATTTCCCTATTTCTAATCCTAATTTTGCTTGCATGTTATATGTATCTTCTTTTTTCCTATTTCTTATCCTACTTTTGCTTGCATGATATCTTTATCTTTATCTTCTATTTTCCTATTTCTAATCCTACCTTTGCTTGCATGTTATATGTGTCTTCTATTTTCCTATTTCTAATCCTACCTTTGCTTGCATGTAATCTTTATCTTCTATTTTCCTACTTCTTATCTTACCTTTGCTTGCATGTTATATATCTCCTATTTTACTATTTCTCATCCTACCTTTGCTTGCATGTTATCTTTATCTTCTATTTTCCTATTTCTAATCCTAACTTCGCTTGCATATTATCTTTATCTTCTATTTTACTATTTCTCATCCTACCTTTGCTTGCATGATATCTTTATCTTTATCTTCTTTTTCCTATTTCTTATACTACCTTTGCTTGCATGTTATCTTTATCTTCTATTTTCCTATTTCTAATCCTACCTTTGCTTGCATGATATCTTTATCTTTATCTTCTTTTTCCTATTTCTTATACTACCTTTGCTTGCATGTTATCTTTATCTTCTATTTTCCTATTTCTAATCCTACCTTTGCTTGCATGTTATCTTTATCCTTAATGAAAATAGCTTTCCCATTACTGGCTTTAGCAACATTCTTTATCAGACTAGTGGAAGCTCCGTCACCAATACCAAATGTGAAAACTCTACAACAGAAATTTTACCAATATAAGACAAAAACAGTGAGATGACATTAGCTTCCCATAAGGTATATGAGGCATCACACTGATGAAGAAAGAAAATTGGTGTCCCTTCTTGAGTACCTTATTTTCAACAGGTTCGTTGATGTGGTTCATAAGTGTTTCTCGTTTCTCGTTTTTTATATAGATTAGACCGTTGGTTTTCCCGTTTGAATGGTTTTACACTAGTAATTTTTGGGGCCCTTTATAGCTTGCTGTTCTATGCGAGCCAAGGCTCTGTGTTGAGGCCATACTTTGACCTATAATGGTTTACTTTTTTAAATTTTGACTTGGATGGAGAGTTGTCTCATTGGCACTCATACCACATCTTCTAATATCTATTTAAATGATACAGGTAACTCAATCTTCAGTTTTGGTTTCTGTCGTTTTGTGTGTTTTTCTTTCACTTTTTCCATTACATGAATCATACATCTTATAATTTATCTATAAAATCTATTAATTATTCAGGTATTTAGTTAAATATATTATTAATAAAAATAGAAATACTATCAGATGTATGCATCCTCTGGGGTGCTGATTAATTGTAACTCTACAACATGCCAATGTGGTGTTGGATTACAGCTGGGGCAGGATATTGACTGAAACCAATGGAAAGGTGGCTCTCAAGGTGACCAGTTGCATGACTAATTAAGAGATTGTTTGCAAGCAAAGTGTGCTCACTTCAGTTTCAATTTGGCCTGGTTGTGAGCAGCAAAGTTTCAGGCAGAAACTATTTTTATTTTCCCACCCACCCACCTCACCTCTTGTTTATTGCATGGTTTTCTATAAGTTATGACTTCTGTTATGACTTCTGTAGATATTGTGTAGTTTTTTATAGTAAGGAATTCCACAGTTTTGATGATCTATGTATTTTTGTCCTTGGCCTATATTGTGCCAATTATATGTTTGCATCTAATTGGAATTTATAATCAATCTGTGGATTACTTAGCCCAAACCTGTCTTTGGTTAATTTTATTCAAGCCTAAGATACATTTCTAAGGTTTCCTCACTAGGTTCTGAACTAGTAACTCAATACAGTTCAGGATTTGGTTGGGACTCCTTTGTTTAGATGTCACAAACGCACATATAAACATTGAAAACAAATTAAGGTATCAAATTACATGTAAAAACTTACCATGTAAAGGGCGGAGGGCTAAAAGGCTAAATTTTTTCTTACTGAAACTAATATTCATAGTAAAAAAAGATATTCTGTATCAGAATATGTATGTTTTCTTCACCTCCAAGATAGGAGACAGAGGATATCCTCATTTAACCTATAACCCACATAAAATCAAAAACACCGTCAGTCAGGGATAATATTTATAGACAATAGATAATATTTTATTAGCACAAATGCCATTATAACAATTGGTAAAGGCTCAATTTAGTGCATTATATAGAAATACATAAAATACAACAAAAAAATTACAAGATAATAATCAATACTTTCTAAACAGGATGTTGATATTTAATATTATTAATGGTTTTGTAAAACTGTTTTTAACTTTCAACAATTCAGAAATGTAATTTGAACATATCTTTGATATTTTTACCTACGAACTGTTTAACAATAGTTTTGACTTTATGCTATCATTATATATATTTCTAAAAATTTTCGTAAAATGTAGACAATTTTGTCACAAGGATTACTCTTTCCTTTTGATATTTAAAGCAATGCCAAAGAAAGTGATTTTCATCTTCAATTTTGTTGTGTGTACACACTTTACAAAATCTTTCATTTCTTACTGCTCTGTTATATATCCCTCTTTCTATTTCAAGGGAATGAGCACTTAAGTCTCATTTTAGCAATAACAGAACAATCAGACTTGAAAGTAAGTTGATCAACATATGGTGTATCAGTTCTTCTACCTTTGAAAAATTATGGAAAAAATCAAATTTTTCCAAATAATAAATTTTGTAGCATTAATCTTGTAAGTTTTGATCTAAAATGTGCTAATTTAATTGATTAAAAAATGTCATGTTTATTTACTTGAAGATGTAAGTAATATTTATTTGTAGAAGTGAATTGTATGATTTTAATTTTCGTTTTCATTTCAAGATCTGAATAATCTCCCCTTCTACAAGTATTTTATTTTAAAACCCCTTAGATTCTCATGTTTCAGGAGGTCAAAACATGCCTATACATTTTTTTCCTGGTTTGCATATATTTTTTTCAAAGAGGGTTGACAACCTTTTATCTCAAGAACTGAAAAAAGAAATTCACATGGCACAGTTAACCTTAAAAGAAATTCTCCCTGGAGGCTTATAAATGAGCAGTGCTTTGAAGATAACAGAAAAATGAGATTTTCATTGTCCATGAAAATATTTTTTTTTTACTAGTAACTATTAATGACAGACAATTAAACACTCACTTACAGCAATGTAGGCTGTTGAAGAGAATTGCAGAAAAGAAGAAAATATTACATTTTTACTTGTACAAGTAAAAAGAAATCTAAATGTCTATAAAAGATATAGCTCTACCTCCAAAATAATTCACCTGTACAAGTAAATAAAAACATTTGTATAAGTATTAGCCCTGACTGACTGTACACTTTTATCAAAAATACACTTAAAAGCTGACAAACCTTTCCAATTGTTATATATTAACTTTATATCAAATTAATAATTACTAAACATATTTTTTACTGATTTCATGGTTTCCATTTTAAATCCATTAATACATTTTTATTAATTTCCATTGATTGATTCATGACAAAATATTACATTTATATAAATTAAAATAAATGGTCTCCCTGAAAATTCTTGACTGCTAGTAAATCTATGCAAAGCAAAAATAAAGTGTATCCTCAAAGATAATTGCCTCAATGATAATTAGCCGAAAAATAGACTAGAAAATTATATGCAAGTTTTATACACGCCATAATTGACTTTCCTGACTCTTCAAAAATAATTTGGAGGGAGAAGTTATAGAATTAATATTGTATAGCCTAACTTACCTTGTGTTTCCGTTATTTTTCTTTGCCAGTTTTATAACCTCATTGGTGTTACTGACACCTCCATCAGTCAGGAGGAATATCTGTAAAACATTTATCTAATTGTTCATTTGAGACTGGTTTACAGTTCACATAGATTCAACTTTATCTGCTCATGTCATAAAGTACAGTTAAGACTTGCAGAAGGAGTTGAACTCAATATCATGCAAGTTATACCCCAATTCATCCTTATAGAAATTGTTGAAGAAATCAATGCTCACTGGCTATGACATTTAAATAATGTTCAAACAGGAAGTGACTGCCTGCAAACTGAAAATTGTTAACTGTACAACTCAACGTTCTAAACATCCACTGGATAAGTATCCCTCATAGTTTTATATATGTTCTGGAACAATTCCTTGCAGGTAAGACAAAAACAATTAATTCTATCTACCTGCTTAAAAACATCATGTTAGAACAGTTTCCTTTATGCACTTCTTTATTAGAAATAATACCACTGTGTAAATATTAATTCAAATAGATCTATCAAGTAATGTAGGACCAGTTAAACTTGCAGGGTTATAGGCAAACGAATAGATAAACTGGTATATAGAGTGATTCCTTGTATAGATATCCCAGCTCAAGTTATAATTACCTGTCGTGGATATCCCTGTTTACAGTTTTTACTGTAAATCTGTTTAAGTGGTTGTAAAATTTCTGTTCCGCCCATATCTGCCTCCATCTGTTCTTGGAGAGACAGAGCTTGTTTTAAAGTTTTCTCATTGTACTCTTCACTCCTTTACAATAAAGAAACAGTTAAAACACTTATACAAAAATCTTAATCATGAAATAAACATGGGAGGGGGTTTCTCATCCAATGTGAAGGTATACTCTGGTGTGTGGGGGGGGGGGGGGGGGGGGTCTAATTGGCAATCATACCACATCTTCTTTTAATTTAATTTTACAGGCATGTTACTGAATTGGTCACTTTTTTATATGTCTATAAATTTCACTGAGGTAATAGATCAATGAGTCAAAAATGTTCATCTTCCATTAGTGAGGTGTCTGTAAATACAGTACAACACTCCTTATGTATAATAAGTACGAATGACCCTATCTTTATCAGCTGAAACTTTTATTGACACAACTTCAATAATTATTTTTAATCTAACATGAAGGTACCCAAACTTACACCTATAGTGAGAGTTTTTTCATCCCTGAGAAACGGACAAAAGTTCCCATTCTGTGTTTATCTCTAGATTTATCCTTATGTCATACATTGTTTCACAAATTCAATTTAATTGAAACCATATACTAAAACAGAATAAAATGCTTCGCTGGGCGCAGCTTGATACGACCGCAGAGGTCGAACCCTGAACAGTTGGGGCAAGTATGGACACAACATTCAAGCTTGATACAGCTCTGAATTTGGATTGTGATTAAATATTTGACACAGCATAGGTTTCTGACACAGAAAGAATGTGGTCTAAGAACTTCAATTTTTTTAATTTACCTATTATGGTCCAATGTCCAAAATCAAAATACATGGTTAGATTCAGCATATCAAAGAACCCCATATATTCAATTTTTGTTGAAATCAAACAAAGTTTAATTTTGGACCCCAACTTGGACAAACTTGAAAACTGGTCCCATAATCAAAAATCTAAACACATGTTTAGATTCAGCATATCAAAGTACCCGAAGAATTCAATTTTTGTTAAAATCAAACTAAGTTTAATTTTGGACCCTTTGGACCTTAATGTAGACAAATTTAAAAAACGGGACCCAAAATTAAAAATCTAAAAACACGGTTAGATTTGGCATATCAAAGAACCCCAATTATTCAATTTTTGATGAAATCAAACAAAGTTTAATTTTGGACCCTTTTGACCTCAATATGAACCAATTTGATAGCGGGCCCACAAATAAAAAATCTAAATACATGGTAAGATTCAGCATATCAAAGAACCCCATATATTCAATTTTTGTTGAAATCAAACAAAGTTTAATTTTGGACCCCAATTTGGACCAACTTGAAAACTGGGCCAAAAATCTAAAATCTAAATACATGTTTAGATTCAGCATATCAAAGAACCCCATATATTCAATTTTTGTTGAAATCAAACAAAGTTTAATTTTGGACCCCAACTTGGACCAACTTGAAAACTGGTCCCATAATTAAAAATCTAAACACATATTTAGATTCAGCATATCAAAGAACCCCAAAAATTCAATTTTTGTTAAAATCAAACTAAGTTTAATTTTGGACCCTTTGGACCTTAATGTAGACCAATTTAAAAAACAGGACCCAAAATTAAAAATCTAAATACACAGTTAGATTTGGCATATCAAAGAACCCCAATAATTCAATTTTTTATGAAATCAAACAAAGTTTAATTTTGGACCCTTTTGACCTCAATATGAACCAATTTGATAGCAGGCCCACAAATAAAAAATCTAAATACATGGTAAGATTCAGCATATCAAAGAACCCCATATATTCAATTTTTGTTGAAATCAAACAAAGTTTAATTTTGGACCCCAATTTGGACCAACTTGAAAACTGGGCCAAAAATCTAAAATCTAAATACATGTTTAGATTCAGCATATCAAATAACCCCATATATTCAATTTTTGTTGAAATCAAACAAAGTTTAATTTTGGACCCCAACTTGGACCAACTTGAAAACTGGGCCCATAATCAAAAATCTAAACACATGTTTAGATTCAGCATATCAAAGAACCCCAAGAATTCAATTTTTGTTAAAATCAAATTAAGTTTAATTTTGGACCCTTTGGACCTTAATGTAGACCAATTTAAAAAACGGGACCCCAAATTAAAAATCTAAATACACGGTTAGATTCGGCATATCAAAGAACCCCAATAATTCAATTTTTGATGAAATCAAACAAAGTTAAATTTTGGACCCTTTGGACCTCAATGTGGACCAATTTAAAAACGGGGCCCAAAATCCAAAAACTTAATACACGGTTAGATTCAGCATATTAAAGAACCCCAAGAATTCAAGAATAAAACCCCATTGAAATTGATCAAGAAATAAGCAATTTATACGAAGTATCTTCTTTTGCACAACACTGTGCAATTGAATATTTCTTGCTATTGCGCAATACTGTACAATTGACAATTTCTTGCTATTGCGCAATATTGTGCTATTGGATATTTCTTGCTATTGCGCAATACTGTGCAATTGAAGATTTCTTGCTATTGCGCAATACTGTGCAATTGAAGATTTCTTGCTATTGTGCAATACTGTGCAATTGAAAATTTCTTGCTATTGCACAATACTTATTATATAATAATTTACACATCCTGTTTGGTGTGTATCTCCTACCATATCATTATTATTTGCTTTTAAATATAAATCAGAAATAATCAACTTAAAATGGAAAATTTTCAAAGAAAAAAAAAAGGAAAAAAAGAAAAAAAAAAAAAAAAAAAATCTCCCCCCCCAAATTTTTTGAACCCCCTTATGATTCATCACCCCCAAACTCAATCCCAGCCTTCCCTTTGTGGTATGGTACCTTGCAGTACAATTTCAGAGAGATCCATACACTTGAACACAAGTTATTGTCTGGAAACTAAAAAAATGCTTATTTTTGGCCCCTTTTTGGCCCCCAATTCCTAAACGTTTCGGGCAATTACCCCCAAACTCAATTCCAGCTTTCCCTTTGTGATATGGAACCTTGTAGTACAATTTCAGAAATATCCAAACACTTACACACAAGTTATTGTCATGAAACTAGAAAAATGCTTGTTTTTTGCCCCTTTTTTGGCCCCTAATTCCTAAAATTTTGAGGCAATTACCCCCAAAATCAATTACAGCCTTCCCTTTGTGATATGGAACCTTGTGGTACAATGTCAGAGAGATCTATACACTTACACACAAGTTATTGTCTGAAAATTACAAAAATGCTTATTTTTGGCCCCTTTTTGGCCCCTAATTCCTTAACTGTTGGTACCATAACCCCCAAAATCAATCCCAACCTTCCTTTCGTGGTATTGAACCTTATGGTGAAATTTCATGGAGATCCATTCACTTAAACTAAAGTTAGAGTGCGAAAACCAATGTGTCTTCGGACGACGCCAGACGACGCCGGACGACGACGACGACGACGACAACGACGACGACGACGACGACGACGCCAACGTCATACCAATATACGACCAAAAAATTTTTAATTTTTGCGGTCGTATAAAAATGGGTTTGAACCGAACTCCAAACAGTCCAAGATTCTGTAATGAGGAGTAACCAAATTGCGCAAATGCTTAACTAAACATCTATAAAATCAAATAACTGATGTTTTGTTTTTATTTTTTTGAACGAAACTGACATTAGTCCATGCTTGCTATGCTATGCATTTAGTAAGAAATTGATGTCTGTGACATCTCAGGATTTCAAAAGCCAATAAAATTTAATCTGATTGCCTTTTACGTTCCAAACTGCCAAATTTTACATGTCAATTTTTTGTTTCTTCTAGTCAACTGAAAGAGATCTTCAAATAAGAGTAAAAGCTACAGGAAATTGGACCTACACATTTTTTTTTTAACCCTGGTCACAAGTGACCTTAGATTTTATTTAAAAATCAACTCAGTAACTTTTCAGTATATTAAATTTTTTTTTTTTCGTTTTTAGAATAAAAGGACAAAACATAACAAAGACTTTATTTTCTCCCTCAATTGTTATACAATAACTTACTGTTCAAATAAAGTGCTGAAATTACTACCGAACGATACAACATTGAACAGACATTCAACAGGTAAACTCTTCAACAACAGTAGTAATGTACAATAACTTACTGTTCAAACAAAGTGCTGAAATTACTACCGAACGATACAACATTGAACAGACACCCAACAGGTAAACTCTTCAACAACAGTAGTAATGTACAATAACTTACTGTTCAAACAAAGTGCTGAAATTACTACCGAACGATACAACATTGAACAGACATCCAACAGGTAAACTCTTCAACAACAGTAGTAATGTACAATAACTTACTGTTCAAACAAAGTGCTGAAATTACTACCGAACGATACAACATTGAACAGACATCCAACAGGTAAACTCTTCAACAACAGTAGTAATGTACAATAACTTACTGTTCAAACAAAGTGCTGAAATTACTACCGAACGATACAACATTGAACAGACACCCAACAGGTAAACTCTTCAACAACAGTAGTAATGTACAATAACTTACTGTTCAAACAAAGTGCTGAAATTACTACCGAACGATACAATATTGAACAGACATCCAACAGGTAAACTCTTCAACAACAGTAGTAATGTACAATAACTTACTGTTCAAACAAAGTGCTGAAATTACTACCGAACGATACAACATTGAACAGACACCCAACAGGTAAACTCTTCAACAACAGTAGTAATGTACAATAACTTACTGTTCAAACAAAGTGCTGAAATTACTACCGAACGATACAACATTGAACAGACATCCAACAGGTAAACTCTTCAACAACAGTAGTAATGTACAATAACTTACTGTTCAAACAAAGTGCTGAAATTACTACCGAACGATACAACATTGAACAGACATCCAACAGGTAAACTCTTCAACAACAGTAGTAATGTACAAAAACTTACTGTTCAAACAAAGTGCTGAAATTACTACCGAACGATACAACATTGAACAGACATCCAACAGGTAAACTCTTCAACAACAGTAGTAATGTACAATAACTTACTGTTCAAACAAAGTGCTGAAATTACTACCGAACGATACAACATTGAACAGACATCCAACAGGTAAACTCTTCAACAACAGTAGTAATGTACAATAACTTACTGTTCAAACAAAGTGCTGAAATTACTACCGAACGATACAACATTGAACAGACATCCAACAGGTAAACTCTTCAACAACAGTAGTAATGTACAATAACTTACTGTTCAAACAAAGTGCTGAAATTACTACCGAACGATACAACATTGAACAGACATCCAACAGGTAAACTCTTCAACAACAGTAGTAATGTACAATAACTTACTGTTCAAACAAAGTGCTGAAATTACTACCGAACGATACAACATTGAACAGACACCCAACAGGTAAACTCTTCAACAACAGTAGTAATGTACAATAACTTACTGTTCAAACAAAGTGCTGAAATTACTACCGAACGATACAACATTGAACAGACATCCAACAGGTAAACTCTTCAACAACAGTAGTAATGTACAATAACTTACTGTTCAAACAAAGTGCTGAAATTACTACCGAACGATACAACATTGAACAGACATCCAACAGGTAAACTCTTCAACAACAGTAGTAATGTACAATAACTTACTGTTCAAACAAAGTGCTGAAATTACTACCGAACGATACAACATTGAACAGACACCCAACAGGTAAACTCTTCAACAACAGTAGTAATGTACAATAACTTACTGTTCAAACAAAGTGCTGAAATTACTACCGAACGATACAACATTAAACAGACATCCAACAGGTAAACTCTTCAACAACAGTAGTAATGTACAATAACTTACTGTTCAAACAAAGTGCTGAAATTACTACCGAACGATACAACATTGAACAGACACCCAACAGGTAAACTCTTCAACAACAGTAATAATGTTTCCTTGGCCTTCTTTATTCTAACATTACCCATACTACCTGTTAAAATAATAATAATATTCTTTGAAATGGATTCATGTTTTCTAATATTCTTATATCTGTACTTCAATTATTTACAAAAAACTTACCATCAAGTTTACAACAGTTGCATTATGATATTAGTACCTATTACATGAACTACAAGTAGCAAATGTGCATTCAGGATTTAGAAAAAAGGGAGCCCACAAACCAAAGTTAGAAATGTGACTTGTAAAAAGTCTATGCATTGAACATATATGTAGCTGTTAAAATATGGAATTCAGTACCGGTAAATATGTTTCTGTCACTTTGTTCATTGGCAAATTGGAAATGGCCGAAGTTCTGGTGAAGTTACTAAGCATGTATTAAAAATATCACAACTGGACTTGATGAAAACACAATACTTTTCAGACTGTGTCTAAGAAAATCTGACATACCAACCCTGACCTTATTATTTCTAAGAAGCAAACTGTAAAAACACATATATATATATTTATTGTTGTTGTGCATCTGTATAATCGATCACATAACTATCCATCACACTCCATATTTGTCTATGTACATACCTGATCTATCAATTACAAAGATAAATTCCCTCTTGCTGTCTTCCGTTTCTTCACCTTGTTTTAAATCAGGATAGAAGTTCAACATTAATAAATCTTCCTTCAGCAAGCCATCTGTAAAAAAGAATCAGATTTCGTTGGTCAAAGGTTAATTTTTGTGGATTTAATGTGTAGAGCATGCATATTGATGTCCTCAACATTAAACATGTGTATATAAATAAAAATAATTCCAGTAGTTCTGAAAGCAGCAAATGATTAGACCAGTCAGCAAGTATGATACTGAAAGCAGCAAATGATTAGACCAGTCAGCAAGTATGATATTGAAAGCAGCAAATGATTAGACCAGTCAGCAAGTATGATACTGAAAGCAGCAAATGATTAGACCAGTCAGCAAGTATGATATTGAAACCATAACCTTTGTTTTTTCTTTAAATCAAAGTGCTAGAAGCTGACCTGTGGAAAGTTTGCAACAGTAGATGTGTATTATTTCAAATAGGTTGTATAGATGTGTAGATTGTGTGGTTTTTCTGACTTTTAAAAAAATTACTAATACAAGGAATAATTGTAACAGGATGCTGTTACTAAGTCTCCCAAACAAAGATTCCATAATTAGTCATTCCCATGGTTGCCTGACATTGGGCAAAGTCCAGTACAAATTGGTTTGGTCTAGTAAAGTGATATGCATAAGTGACACCTAGAGATTAACCCTGTATGTCATTCAAATCTTCTTGAAATCGTGAACAGGAATATTGTCCCGTACAGGAATATATATGGTTTCAGGGTGGGGATCTCGACTTTTAACAAGTTTTCAAAAAGAAGGGGGGTGGGGGGTGACCTCCGTGAACTTCCCCAATATTTCATTTGATTTGTTTGATTGTCCAATACAAAAATATATATGGTTTAGGGATGGGGATCTCAACCGTTTACAAGTTCTCAAACAGGATGGGGGTGGGAGTGACCCCAGGGGGACTCACCTTTTATTTCATTTGATTTGTTTTATTGTCCAGTACAAGAATATATATGGTTCAGGGATGGGGATCTCGACTCTTTACAAGTTCTCAAACAGGACTGGGTGGGCATGACCCCCAGGGACTCCCCCTATATTTCATTTGATTTGTTTTATTGTCCCATTCAAGAATATATATGGTTTAGGGGTGGGGATCTCGACCGTTAACAAGTTCTCAAACAGGAGGGGGTGGGGTGACCCCCAGGGACTCCCCTATATTTCATTTGATTTGTTTTATTGTCCCATACAAGAATATGTATGGTTTCGGGGTGGGGATCTCGACCGTTTACAAGTTCTTAAACAATAGGGGGTGGGGGTGACCCCCAGAGACTCCCCCTATATTTCTGTTGATTTGTATTATTGTCCCATACATGAATATATATGGTTTAAGGGTGGGGATCTCGACCATTTACAATGTCTCAAACAGAAGGGGGTGGGGTCCAGGGACTCAACCTATATTTGATTTGATTTGATTTGTTTTATTGTCCTGTGATCATTATTGAAGACTGCATGTGTCTATCACTTACTGTTTTCAAGTTATAGTCATTTGAAAATTACAAAAAATTAAATCCCATAGAGTTCTATAGTAAATCCCTCCCTTCTGTAGGTCCTCAAAGTACCCCTAAATAGACCCCAAGAAGAAAATAATAAGAACTGAGCAAAAACAATAAGTCTCCAAAGTTTGTTTGGGAGACTTAATAACAAATAGAATAAATACGAATTTTGTTATAGTCCGATTTTGTGAGGCCGATTACCTAATAGGCCGAGTTTGTTATAGTCCGAGTCTGTTGATTAGATTAGATACCAGGATACTTTCGATACACTTGGGCTTTTACGTCTTTAATAAACATTTGTAAAAATCGTAGTAAAATAGTGTCGAAAAATGTTCATTCATTAAATATTATAAACACGGTATTTATTTTCTCTTCAACCGGAGGACGGGAGGAAACCCCTGAAACCTGGATTATTGTACTCCCGTCGGCACACATATATGATATATGGATCTTACGCATGTCTGAGGAATACTGATAAAAGCATAACTTAGAGAAACTGCTGTCTAGGTAGATGTGTATTGATTTTATTTTTTCCGCCCAGCGCAGTAGTAGTGTTTGTGATACCCATTTTCAAAATGAAGTTGAATTCATTTGAATTGTCGGTGAACATTCAGTACATTTTAATTCCAGCTGTAAGCTAATCAAAATAGAAGTAACTCAAAATTTCAAAAGCATCTTCCTAGAATTAGTATTCAAACACTAGTACTACATTATCTAGGAGTAGACATAGTAAGAAAGTCTGTCCTACTTCCGGTTTGAGGCCGATGCCTTAGGAAAGTTTATTGCTATAGCAAGCTATAGCAAACTTTCCAAAAACTACAAACAAAGTTCCCATAATTAATGACTTTACATGAAATAACATGTATTTTAAAGTATTTTTTAATATGTCAAATGTTATACGACAGGACATTTCTATTTTAAAGATCTTGATATATATCCCATCTAGTTGATCATTCAGGTTGTAAAGAAATTTTACAAACATACCCATGTTAAAAGTCTGTATACAAACCTCTTTCTTTATTTCCTAATTCTAAAATGATCTCTGGCTCATTAATATTATCATAGATTATATCAAAACTTAAATCATGGTCAAACTTGAACTCCTCTGCCAAATCAATCTAAAAAGATAAATATGAAATAATATATAGTTTTATAAATAAACTGTTGACACAGAGATACGTCTCGCCTTTTTGTAATTTTGCAAGTATCATAAATGCCAATGTTGAAATTAAAATAGCAATAAATATGCAAAACATTCAAAGTCAATGAACCATGACTGAAGGCACAGGGCCAAATAACTTGCATGGAAATGAGAAATGCAAAGGCTTATCAAACTGCATACCAAATACCATTGACTTATCATAAGTGGTTCCCTTTAAGCTAACTTAAACACAAACTTTTACTTGTAAACTATGCAAAAGATCAAAAGTCAATGAACCATGATGAGGAGGCAGGGCCATATAATCTCCATGGAAATGAGATACAACTGCATACCAAACATCATTAATTAACTATTTGTGGTTCCCCTTAAACTGACATTATCACAAACTAATACATGTTAACTTAAAGCAAATGTTTCAAAGTCAATAGACCATGAATGAAAGGGCGGTGCCAAATAATCTCCATGGAAATGAGATGTGCCAATGCTTATACCACTGCATACCAAATATCATTGACCTATTCGCGCACGAGCTACCACAAATGGTTGCTCTTAAACTGACCTAGACACAAACTGATATATCTTATCTAAGTAAATGTTTCAAAGTCAATAGACCATGACTGAGGGGGCAGGGCCAAATAATCTCCTAGGAAATAAGATGTGCCAGTGCTTATACCACTGAATACCAAATATCATTAACCTACCAATAATGGTTCCTCTTAAACTGACCTAATCACAAACTAATACATGTTATCTGAGCAAGTGTTCAAAAGTTAATAGACCATGACTGAGGGGGCAGGGCCAAATAATCTCCATGGATCAGATATATTAAATCTTACTATTTGCTATATTTTTGTTCTTTTTTCTTCTTTTAATTTTGAAAATAACTCATAACATTAAAATGTATAAATTGAATTTGAAGACCTATATTAGCTTTCCTAACATTTATTTCAAATTTGTTTGATAAAAGAGAAATGACAAAAAATACTTACAGATGCAGATAACTTATCTCCATTGACCTTGACATTAAGTTTGTCGTAAGAGCTGCTAACAGACTTGATTTTGTAACAACCAGACACAGCAGCACTGAAAGTCAATTTACATGGAGTTCTTATGTTCACTTGACCAGGACTGGACTCACTTCCCGGTTCTACATAGTGTCCAACATCTGTAATACATATAATAATAATAATAATATATCTAGAAGATATAAAGAGCATACATTGGTCACTATTCAATCCCCCTGAAGTCTGGAAGCAATTATCAATCCTAATCTGCTAGATTTTTATGAATTTTTCAATTCATTTTAGAAATTGATAAAAATTCAGAATTACTTCTGACTTGGTTTAGTTCTTCTTTTTTGTAATGATGGAGGTCATGTTAGAAGATGGACAGAGCCAACAACCTTAACTAGTAAAGAGGATCATAAATGTATAGATATACAACTTTGCTCCTACCCATGATTTTTTTAATATATTTTGTGAAATTTCCTATTTTCAGTAACAATTAAAGCTATGTTTAACATTTGTTAGAGCCATCAACAATCATTTTTACAGGGCTATATTGTTTAACATGCGCTGGTAGCAACAAAATCTCCACTTTTATCATTTTTTTAATTATTTATCTGCTTTAATTTGATTTTTCAGCAAATTTTCCATTTTCACTACAGCCATCTTTGTAAAGAGATGGGGATCATCAACAATATATCTTAAAGCCAATCATACATGTATCATTTAATCAAAGTTTGCTACCATTTTCACATCATCTGATGTTTCAGAATTTACTGATTTTTTGTCAAATTTTCTGGTTTTACTAACAATAACAACAATTATTGAAGGTCAATGATGTCTTCAACCATCAGTCTTAAGGAGAATCAGAATTGTATATTTTGAACACAAATTTAGTGTTTGTTGATTTGATTTTGAGCAATGTTTAAAGAAAGAGTATGTCAGTAACCATAATTCTTAAAGAGAATTAAAATTTCAAAGTAACTACTCCTTCAATGTCTGGGAGTAATTAATCCTTCTAAAGATTACTATGATTTTTTTAATATGTTTTGTGAGTTTAAAGCATATGTTTTGTCTTTATTAATTTAGACCATTTTGTTATTTAGTAAGCAATAACAAAAGAAACAAGCATTCTGAGAGTATTGCATGGCAATACATAGTCCCCTACCGGGTAAAAATTCATTATACTGGAACAAAATGCTAACTTGTTATATAACTTGCCATGGTGTAAACAAAAAATAAATATCATGTCAATATCTTCAAGCATGACTAAAAACAGTGTGGAAAACTGATTATATGAGTGAATTTTTCAAGTCCAAGGACCGTAACTCTGCACAAAATTATTAGACCAAAACAAAAATTTGAACTTGATGATAAAACTATATACCAATTATCAATCAATATCGTATAAGCATGATGAAAAAAACATAAGATATGATTAATAGTTCTCTAAAATTAGATATGATGTAATACAGTGCATATCTATTTTCAAATTATAATCAAATATAATTAATATAGTTCCAAATATTTTTTCTTTCATTAGTCACAAACTAATATAGATTTGTAACTTATCTAGAAAATGTCAACAACTTTTATCTACACAATGTAATGTATTGAAATATATACATAATAAAAATAGATTATTATCTAATTAAAGGATTTCTCTTCATAATTTTTTTTTATATATATAGCATTCAGAAAAATAGTTTATACTAAATAACTAACAAACCTGCCAAAAAATTCTTAAAATAATTGAACAAAGAATGTCTTTTAAAAAATTAGTTATCACCCTTTGTACAGAAATATGGTTTAACATAGTACTCTAACATTAGATATGGTCCAGAGTTATGGTCCATAACTCTGGATTAAATCATCAGACCGGAACAAAATTTGAACTTGATTTATAACTTGTCATGATAAAACTATATACCAAATATCAAATCAATATGTTCAAGAACGAAGAAAAAAAGTGTGGAAAGCTGATTTGCCGGACTGACAGAAGGACAGACAGACGGACAGACAGACAGACAGACAGACGAAGTGCAAACCTAAAGTCCCCTTCGACTACGTCGCTAGGGGACTAAAAACAAGAATGTGTGGACTGTGAAATTGGGGTCAAAACTCTAATTTGGCATTAAAATTAGAAAGATCATATCATAGAACACATGTGTACTAAGTTTCAAGTTGATTGGACTTCAACTTCATCAAAAACTACATTGACCAAAACTTTAACCTGATGTGGGACAGACGGACAAATGGATGGACAAATGGAAGGATGAACGGACCAACGAATGGAAGAACAGACCGAAAAAACAAAATGCCCTTAGGTGGGGCAATAAAAATTCAGATGAGCTTATAATGTGTCGGACTCAGTTATCTTGTTGTCAAAACCATGAAACACTTATTGAGAGCAATGGGTTCTCTTAAAAGTTCACTTTGAAGAGAGGCATATGTTTTCCCCCTGTTGTTATTATTGTATTTTCCCTGTTGTGTTTAAAATGTTATGCAAAAAAAAAGCACATAAAATTATAATGTTACTCAAAAAATATCATCCTGGTCTTCCAATTTGGATTAAATCTATGAACCTTGATTTATATAAACCTAAAGTTCAAATAATTAGTACTATGAAGGTTTCCATGGCAAATAATGATAATGGTTAGTAATAACTTTTTGTTATTTCAGGTATAATGGAATGAACTGATATTAAACAAATCACATATGATTATTTCTCACAAAAATCAGATACAAACAGTATATAAAGAAATATTTGGCTTTTTTTATGGTAAAAATATGTTAAAATACCTGACAATAGCAGAGTTTACCTGGTGAGTATCTTGGAGTCAGTACTGTTGGTAATGTAAACCTCATTTTCCCGTCTGTTTCTACAGACAGTTCTACAACATATGAAATGGTCAATAGTGCCCTCTCTCCTGCTGGCAAGTTGCCAAGTTTGCATTCAAATATATCAGCTGACGCATCATCTTCAGATAACAGCATGGCTGTGTGGCCACTTGATATTGCTTCATTGTAAGTTTCTTTAGCCTGCAAATCAGAAACAGAAAAATATCAAAAAGCTTCCAGACATTCCTCAAATGGAAAGTTCAGAAATCAGTATTCAAGTTATTGTGGTTGGTCTATATATAATTTATAAGGACGTTAATACTGAGTATCGTAGTTTAAGAGGACTTCATAAAAAAGATTTGGTCCACTACACAAGGTCCTTTATAGATAACATAAGTGACTATAAATTACACTATTCTTTACCAATTTTCCTTAGACGGGAAACCAACTAGTGGCAGGTGAATTCAATTCCAATCTTAATTGCCTAAGTTATCCTGCTGGTGATCAGTGGTTCTCTCAGGGCACTCAATAAAAGCTGACCACCACAATATAGCCAATAACGCTGAAAGAGGTGTTTAACACCAAAAATTAACCTATCCTTACACTGGAAGACTCTTCCAACATATGACACTGTTCCTAGTTTTATCCACAAAATAATCATACACATCTGTTTTACCTTAATTTTGTTTATCCATCCTGTCATTCTGCTGTGTTTTACTTTTATTTATCTTGACATTCTGCTGTGTTTTACCTTTTGTTTATACTGACATTCTGCTGTGTTTTACATTTTGTTTATCCTGATATTCTGCTGTGTTTCACCTTTAGTTTATTCTGACATTCTGCTGTGTTTCACCTTTTATTTATCCTGACATTCTGTTGTGTTTTACCTTCAATTTATCCTGACATTCTGCTGTGTTTTATCTTTTATTTATCCTGACATTCTGTTGTGTTTTACATTTTGTTTATCCTGGAATTCTGCTGTGTGTTACCCCATGTTTATCCTGACATTATTTAATGTTTTACCTTTTGTTTATCCTGCCATTCTGCTGTGTTTTACCTTTTAGTTATACTGACATTCTGCTGTGTTTTAACATTTGTTTATCCTGACATTCTGCTGTGTTTTAACATTTGTTTATCCTGACATTCTGCTGTGTTTTAACATTTGTTTATCCTGACATTCTGCTGTGTTTTAACATTTGTTTATCCTGACATTCTGCTGTGTTTTAACATTTATTGATCCTGACATTTTGTTGTGCTTCACATTTTGTTTATCCTGACCTTCTGCTGTGTTTTACCTTTTGTTTATCCTGACCTTCTGCTGTGTTTTACTATTTGTTTACCCTAACATTCTTTAACGTTTAACCTTTTGTTTATTCTGACATTCTGCTGTGTTTTATCATTTGTTTATCCTGAAATTCTGCTGTGTTTTAACATTTGTTCATCCTGATATTCTGCTGTGGTTTACCTTTTGTTTATCCTGACATTCTGCTGTGTTTTACCTTAAGTTTGTCCTGACATTATGTTGTGTTTTACAATGTTATCCTGACCTTATGTTGTTTTATCTCTTATTCATCCTGACATTCTGCTGTTTTTTACCTTATGTTTGTCCTGACATTCTGCTGTGTTATATTTTTAGTTTATCCTGACATTCTGTTATTTGTTCTCTTTTGTTTATTGTGGCATTCTGCTGTGTTTTACCTTTTGTTCACCCTGACATTCTGATGTGTGTTAATTTTTGTTTATCCTGAAATTCTGCTGTGTTTCACCTTTTGATTATACTGACATTCTGCTGTGTTTTACATTTTGTTTTTCCTGACATTCTGCTGTGTTTTACCTTTAGTTTATTCTGACATTCTGCTGTGTTTAACCTTTTATTTATCCTGACATTCTGCTGTGTTTTACCTTTAGTTTATCCTGACATTCTGCTGTGTTTCACCTTTTATTTATCCTGACATTCTGCTGTGTTTTACCTTTAGTTTATCCTGATATTCTGCTGTGTTTCATTTTTTATTTATCCTGACATTCTGCTGTGTTTTACCTTTTATTTATCCTAACCTTCTGCTGTGTTTTACCTTATATTTATCCTGACATTTTGTTGTGTATTACCTTTTGTTTATCCTGACACTCTGCTATGATGTGTTTATTGTTGACATCAGCTTCAAACTTGTAAACAGCTGACATGTCATCCATTGGGAAGATAAAGCTTGTTTGTAAGGCTTCCAATGTGTCATTACAATAAGTGAGTTGACTCTCTACATTAGCTATAAACCCCTGGACTGTAACATGGACCTTAGATTCCTTCAGAGGCACTGCAATTTGAAACAAAGCTTGCTTCATTGGCTGATTAAAAAAACACTGGAGTTTCTAAGAGTTCCTTTCATTTATTTAATATCAAATAAAATTGAGAATGGAAATGGGGAAAGCATTTATAGATTTCTATATGTATTTAAAAATGATGTTCTTGAAATAAGGGGAACTATTAACCAAAATGATATTGGTCACTTATAATTTAACAAAGATCACATAAAACAGCCGTGTAGCTGCATTAAAGCAGTGTAAGCAAATGCTTACAAATAAAGTTGCTTTTTTGTTTTAAATATTGTTAGGGAACAACCGTTTGATATTCTGGGGGATGTTTTGCAGGTTTACTATTTATTTTCAAAATTCTCCTGCCCCCAATTTGAGAAGATTGATGATGCAGCAATCAGTACAACTTTAGCTAAATCAATTCAGCCAAATAATTGGTCAAATGTTGACAACCAACAAAAGTTATTCTTACTAAAATAAAAGTGGGAAATTATAAGTTTTATTTCTCTGACAGATAATTGTGGCACCAAAAGGCACTGTAATATATTATAGCTTGATAAATATCAATGCCTCACTGCATCAGAGATATTCAGTCAGAAAAAGTAGGTTTATTGTTTACACTACGCTTTGTTCAATAGTTATGATAATGCATTTGTTAGGGATCATGCAGATGAATGGGCAAATTTGAGTATCCTTATTAAACTCCACTTGTGCCAATCTGGACACAGAAAGAGTCTTAAAGTGCTAAGCTTTCCTTTATTACATTGTACCTGTGGTATCTTTTCCTTCTATAATAAGTCCATAAAGAGATTTTCTAGTAGCCATGGTGTAAATAATAAGGCAGTTCAGTCTAAACTATCTGATTATGTCTGAAAACAAATTGAAATATATCAGTTAACTTCGGATTAAGTCATTACAAATCCAGATAAACTACTGCTGAAACACTGGTTGTCTTAAAAAATATCAGTAACATCTAAAAGTTTTTCATGTTTATTTTTTGTTATTAAGAGTTGACATATTGCGTGGACATGATGGATACGTGTCTCTTGAAAGACAGCATGCTGACTTCTAGTTGTCTTTTGAATGTGTGTTGTTTGGTTGCTGTCTCATTGACATACCCCACATCTCCTGTATACCCTTTGTTTATATGTATCAATGCTTCAAAGATGACCAAATAAATAACTTGAGTGATAGAATAGGAATCTTCATAGCTTACAAGATACAAATATATATTAATAGGTATGCCACATGAAATTTCAATAGATTTATATGATAAAATCAACCATTTTATGTGATAGAGCATAACACACTGAAATCAGAACACTTTACTTTTTGAAATTATTTGAAATGGTTAAAAAGTTATGATAAAAAGAAATATCTTAAACAGCAAAAAAAATTGGACAATTCTATCCAAAATATTATAAATTATAAATTTGACAAAATTGACCAACTTGCCATTTTTAATTTGATATAACTTCATCAATTGTAATATAATATGTATGGGATGAGGTATATTTCATATTTGGGGTTCTATGTGATGAATAAACATAAATCATGATTAATTTTCATCTATTTGCTTTAACCAGAAAAGTCTAAACTTGGGGTTTGTAACATGTCCCGATGGCGTCCAGCTTCAAAAATGACTAAGTCCATCATGTTTTCAGCATGAACTTTGCATTACTTCATTAATATATGCACTTATGCACTATCTTCATGAAATTTCGTCTGTAAGGGTTTTTTGGTATGATCTTTCATTTAGACATGTCAGATTTAGTGTAAATCATCAACTTCAAGCAAAAAACAGTATCCATGGCAACCATTTTCATTAAAAAAACGACTAAGTCCAACATATTTTCAGTATAAACTTTGCATAGCTTCATTACTATATGAACTAGTCAAAACATTTACTAAATTTTATCATCGGTATAAGGACATCATTCGTAAATATAACTCAACATGCAGATATCTTATACGTTCAGGTATTTCACATCCAATCTTTTATGGTAATATTCTTTACAAAGCACAAAAATGTCAGTATTCACCTCAAAAGCTAACAAAACCTTTAAACAGACTTATTAAGAAGGGATATAGTTACGATACTGTTGTCAGGTCATTAAAGATTGCATATTTTGGCGTTAATATTAATTCACACGTATAGGGTCTTTGCATCGGAATTAAACACATTTATTCTAAAACCAGTTGTTGGCATGACACGGGTTATGTTCTTCTCATATATTTTGTGACGGTATAATACTAAACCCCTAACAGGAGGGATTGTGCCTGATATTCATATGATGAAGACATAATCTTATAAAATCAGTTTAATTGAGGTCTGGAGCTGGCATGTCAGTAACTGCTAGTAGTCTGTTGTTATTTATGTATTATTGTCATTTTGTTTATTTTCTTTTGTTTCCTATTCTGACATCGGACTCGGACTTCTCTTATACTGAGTTTTACTGTACGTACTGTTGTGCGTTTGTTTTTTCTACATTGGCTAGAGGTATAGGGGGAGGGTTGAGATCTTCAAAAACATGTTTAACCCCGCCGCATTTTTGCGCCTGTCCCAAGTCAGGAGCCTCTGGCCTTTTGATTTTAGTTTCCTGTGTATAATTTGGAGTTTAGTATGACGTCCATTATCACTGAACTAGTATACATATTTGTTTAGGGGCCAGCTGAAGGACGCCTTCGGGTGCGGGAGTTTCTCGCTGCATTGAAGACCAATTGGTGGTCTTTCGGCTGTTGTCTGCTCTATGGTCGGGTTGTTGTCTCTTTGACACATTCCCCATTTCCATTCTCAATTTTATCTTCATGAAATTTTGTCAGTAAGGGTTTTTTGGTATGATCTTTCATTTAGGCATGTCAGATTTGGTGTAAATCTTCAATTTCAAGCAAAATGGTATCCATGGAAACATTTTTTTTGTGAAATTCTGCATTTTTTTGTTACAATCCTAAGAAATTTTCACAAATATTTGACAAATGTTTGACCTGACTGCATGCAACTCAGCATTTATTTTTTGATATGATCTTTTATTTTTCAATATCTTAAGTAATGTAACTCCTACATTTTATGCCAAACTGTATCCATGGCAACCATTTTTCTTTGTGAAAATGTGTAATTTTCATTATGAATCTTTATATAGCATGTCAAATGTTTTTGAAATTACAGCAATTGACCTTAAGATTTTCAGGTACCATCTTTCATGTAGTCTTGTCTAATTTTTGTATCTCTTTAAATTGTAGAGGAACTGTTACCATGGGAACCCTATATATTATATAGCTATATTACATATTTTAGTCATATATGGAGCAGGAAAACTTTACCCTTCCAAGGCACCATTTTCAACACCATTTTTATTGGGATTTCATGCTACACAATCTTTTGTTTGTTTTTTGTTTAAACTGTTGTTTTGGTGATTTTGCTACTAAGTAAAGGAAAATCCCTTTTATGAAAATAGTGTTTGCCAAAAAGCTTAGTTACCATATTGCTTTTCTATTTTCATACAATGAATTGTGTATCATATTGAATCATTTTTACAGTACTAGTATACTGATTTCTATATAGACAAACTATGAATTAGATAACAATTTAATATACCAACAGTTAAATTACTACTCTTGAACAAAATACTTTTCAACAAATTGCTTATGGTGATGATTTATATCATCAATGTTTGGAATTATCCAATGTCTCAATCCAGGGGAGGGAAGAATGTCAAAATGCGAATAAATAACAAATTTCATATCTATATCCTTTATATCCTCCTTTGACGGCCATTTAAATGTAATTCCTTTTTTTCTCTGGCGTGCCATGAAGTTAATATTTAATATATTTTCAGGTTTAAGCTGCAATACTTCTCCTGGGTACCAATCATCCTTAAATGATATAGCTACCCTGGTACCAACAGTTATCTCTTTTTCTTTGTCTAATTGTAAAAATGACACAAGATTATCTTTTAGATGCTCAAGAGTGTTTTTATAGGCAAATGCTGTTTTTGGAATCTCCATTTTTAAAATCTGTTTGCAATATAAAAGTTGATCGCTCAATTTTTCCTTTTTTAATTTAATTGTTTTTGCTGTCCTTAAAATACTTTCGATATCATCTCGGTTTCTCACTATTCCCCCCTTTTTTTTTACATTACATTCAATTGTGTTCATCTGTGTTTTTTTCTTTTGTTCTGCTTTTAATTTCTTACATTTTACAATTTTTATCATTTTTGTTCTTTCTTCCAAAACTTTTTTTTCATGCAACCTCTCTTTTCTTCTGAAAGAAGGGGCTTTATTTCTAGCTTGTTTTAACAGTTCTTTCCTTTCAAGTATTGATTTAGTTTTTAACCATGCAACAGTTTTGTTCCTTTTAAGCATGCTCGCTGAACTATGATGTCTGAATGTATGTAGCATTTGGTTTTTTTCTCATCGAAAAAATCATGGTCACCAAACAAATTTTCAGCAGGAATATTTGTTAGTTTGCTATGTGAAGTACACTGCTGAAGTTGGACATCTGCTGAACCATATATTTCATTTTCTAAGTGGTCCTTAAGCTGCCTCTCAACTATTTGTAACATTGCTTCACATATTTTGTTTAAATTTGGTTTTACATTTGGGAAATGCATGGCAGCATTAAGTACAATTTCATCTGTAACATGAGGATAGTTTTCAAATAAAGGCTTCATATTAAAGGTAATATATTGAATGTATAGTGGAATCCTTTTTAAAAATATGAATAGTGAACAAGGGGCGATCCAGGATATTTGAAAGTTGGGGTGTCTATTACCGATTATCGAAAATATAAATTTTTATGGACGATTTTTTAAGTACTAAAAATTTACATGTATTGTGAGAAACATGAGATTTTAAATTTTATTGGCGATCAAGGGTGAGGAGTTCACCCTCTTCATAAGTACGCTACCTGGATCAGCCACTGGTGAAACATTACTTTTAATTTTAATAGATAATAGTCCATTTGCAGATAACTGATTTGATTCTGTTATTTCAAGCCTTTAACACAAGTTGTTTCCCTTTACCATTTATAAACTGGTTCTATGATGGACAAAATGGGCTGCTGCCATTGTAAATAAGAAAATGTGATATGAGTGCCAATGAGACAACTCTCCATCCAAGTTACAATGTATAAAAAGTAAACTATTATTGGTCAAAGTAAGGCCTTCAACACGGAGCCTTGGCTCACACCGAACAGCAAGCTATAAAGAACCCCAAAATGACTAGTGTGAAACAATTCAAACAGGAAAACCAATGGTCTAATTTATGTAAATAAATTGCTTCGCCGAGGGCAGCTGGATACGACCGCAGAGGTCCAACCCTGAACAGTTGGGGCAAAAATGGACACAATATTCGTGCTTGATACAGGTCTGAATTTGGATTGTTATTAAATATTTGACACATAATAGGTTTCTGACACAGAATGTTACTGTCAATTTTTTGCTTTTGTGGAATACACTTTGCTGTTGCGAATTGACCCCCCCTCCCCCACAAAAAAAAAAATGTACCCCCCCCTTTTTTTTGCTTTTGTGCAATACACTATGCTGTTGCATATTGACCCCCCCCCCCACTTTTTTTTGCAAAAAAAAAAATATTTGAAGAATTTTTCTTTTTAATTTCTGAAATCTGAAATGAGAAAAAATTGACCCCCCACAATTTCTTTTTACCCCCCCCCCCCCCTCCCAAATTTTTTTTTCACCTCCCCCCCCCCCTTTTTCCCCCAAAAAAAATTCTTTCCCTCAAGATATGGTCATAATCTCAAATCAAATTTCCAATGGAGTTTGCAACCATAATTACCCATTTATATACATCATAAAAGTCTTAAAATAGAAAATGACATACATAATCATGGCTAAAATTAATATTCCTTAAT